CGCTCATGACATCATTGAGGTGCTCAAGCTCCAGCGCCCCGACAAGGCGGTGATCCTTTGCTGGAGTTGTTTATTATATTATATTATAATTTTATTATTTGAGTATTTTAATATTTATTTTATTTTATTCTTTATTATGTTATATTATAATTTTATTATTTGTTTCATAAATTATATTTTTATTTTATCTATTTATTATATTATAATTTTATTCTTTATTTATTTTATTCTTTATTTTATTCTTTATTATATTATATTATGATTTTATTAGTTGTTTCATATATTATATTTTTATTTTATTTTATTATTTGTTTATTATATTAAAATTTTATTTTTTATTTTATTCTTTATTATATTAAATTATAATTTTATTATTTGTTTCATAAATTATATATTTGTTTTATCTATTTATTATATTATAATTCTTTATTTATTTTATTCTTTATTATATTATAATTTAACATTTGTTTGATATATCATATTTTTATTTTATCGTTTATTATATTATATTATAGTTGTATTATTTATTTATTTTATTCTTTATTTTATTTTATTAATTCTATTATTTGTTTATTATATTATATCATAATTTTATTTTATTATTTGTTTATTATATTATATTATAATTTAATATTATTATTTGTTTATAATTTTATAATTTATTTTATTTTATTCTTTATTGTATTATATTATAATTTTATTCTTTGTTTCATATATTATATTTTATTTTATCATTTATTATAATTTTATCATTTATTTATTTTATTCTTTATTTTATTGTATTGTAATTTATTATTTGTTTGATATAATATATTATATTTTATATTATATTATAATTGTATGATTTATTTATTTTATTTTTTCTTTTATTATTTCTTTAATATATTATTTTCTATTTTATTTTGATTGTTTTATTTTCATAGAATCATACAGTTGGAAGAGACCATAAGGGCCATCCAGTTCCACTCCTTTCCATTTACTGCATTGCATTGGATTGCATTGCATTGGATTGCATTGGATTGCATTGCATTGCATTGAATTGCATTGAATTGCATTGGATTGCATTGCATTGGATTGCATTGCATTGCATTGCATTGAATTGCATTGGATTGCATTGCTTTGCTTTGCTTTGCTTTGCTTTGCTTTACATGGCATAGAACCCCTTTCTTTAGTGTTTTGGATTGCAACTCCCATCAGCCCTAAAAGCAGGCGACTGATAGGATGATGGGAGCTGCAGTCTACCCAATGATCTGAGGCTGCAACTATTTATTATTATTATTATTATTATTATTATTATTATTATTATTATTATTATTATTATTATTTCTTGAAAGGCTTCTGCATCTACACTGCAGAATGAATGCAGTTTGGTGCGTCTGAGCATGTGCAGAGCGCCCTGGTGGCCTCCTGGATACTCTGTATCCTTCCTTCCTCCCTTCCTCCCTTCTTTCCTTCCTTCCTTCCTTCCATCCATCTGGCGATGAAGGACTGGGTCTGCGCCAGGTAAGGAGGGAAGGAGGGAGGGAAGGAGGGAAGGAGGGGTGGGAGGATCCAAGCTCAAGGGAAGGAAGGAGGGAAGGAGAGAAAGGAGGGAGGGAAGGAAGGAGGGAAGGAGGGAAGGAAGGGAGGAGGGCGATGGTGAGGAAGGATGCTTCCCCGGGAGCCTCTGGCGTTGGCCAGGCTGAAGATGCGCAAAGGGATCAGCTTCGATGGGGAAGGAGGAGAGGAAGAAGGGGAGCAGGACAGGTAAGGAAAGGAAGAAGGAAAGAAGGAAGGGAAGAAGGAAGGGGGCAAAGGGAGGGGGGAAAGAAGAGAGGAGGGAGGAGAGAAAGGGAAGGAAGGAGAGGGAAAGAGAGAAGGAAGGAAGGACAAAAAGGATGGAAGGAGAAAGAGGTAGGTAAGGAGGAAGGAAAGAAAGAAAGAAAGAAAGAAAGAAAGAAAGAAAGAAAGAAAGAAGGGGCCAAAGGGAAGGAGAAAAGGAAGAGAGGGAGTGAAGGAAGAAAGGAGGGAGGGAGGAGAGAGGGAGGAGTGGATGGAAGGAAGGAAAGAAAGAAAGAAGCAAGGAGGAGGAAGGAAGGGATGAAAGAAGGAAGGAATGAAGGAAGGAAGAAGGAAAGGAAGGAAGAGGAAGGAAAGAGGAAGGAGAGAAGAAGAAGGAGGAAAGAGAAGGAAGGAGAAAAAGAAGGAAGGAGAGAAGGGAAGGAGGAGGAAGAAGGAGAGAAGAAGGAAAAGAAGGAAGGAAGAAAGGAAAGAGAGGAGGAGAGAAGGAAGGAAGGAAAGAAGGAAGAAGGAAGGAGAAGAAAGAGAAAGGATAGAAAGAAGGAGGAAGGAGAGAAGGAAAAAGGAAAGGAAAAGGAAGGAAAGAAGGATAGAAAGAAGAAAAGGATAGAAAGAAGGAAGGAAGGAGAGAAGGAAAGAAGGAAGAAGAAAGGAAGGAGGAAGGAAGGAGGAAGGAAAGAAGGATAGAAAGAAGGAAGGAGGAAGAAGGAAGGAAGGAGAGAAGAAAGGAGGAAGAGAAGGAAGAAGAAGGAAGTAGAGAAGGAAAGAAGGAAAGGAAAGAAGGAGAGGAAGAAAAAGAGAAGAATGAAGGAGATAAGAAAGGAAAGAAAGAAGGGCTGAATGAAGGAAAGAAAGAAAGAAGAAAAGAAAGAAGCGAGGGAGAAAAGAAATAAAGGATGGAGGGAAGGAAGGAAGGCCCATAAGACCTGTCTGCTTTTTTTTTTTGGGGGGGGGGGGGGGGCCAACCTTACTCAGGAAAATAGATGCATGGTATAAATGAGTACCCATAGATCAATACTGTATATAATGTTTATTTACATCCAGCTTTTTCTCTCCATACGGAGACTCAAAGCGGAGCACAACTAAAGCACTGCAGTATAATATATATATTCCATACCTGCAGCCAAATACTTGGAAATAGATGCATGAAATAGATGGTTCATTATGAAATAGCACCCATCTTTGAGTGTGTATATATATGTATATGTATATGTATATGTATATGTGTGTATATATATATATATATATATATATATATATATATATAATATTAATGCACCCATCTGCTTGGAAATCGATGCATGTTACACAACTGGGCTCATCTATCAACCCAGCTTTCTTTCCCACAACACATATATGTACCCCATAAACTTGAAAATCAATGCATGTTAAAATATAGGACTTATATATATCATATATGGGCACCTATACATATGTATGTATGTATGTATATGAGCATGTATATAGAAAAAAATCTATCTATCTATCTATATATATATCCCGTATACACCACCCCATATGCTTGGAAATAGAGGCATGTTATAATATAGGACTTATATATACCATATATGGGCACCTATACATATGTATGTATGTATATGAGTATGTATATAGATATAATCTATCTATCTATCTATCTATCTGTCTATCTATCTATCTATCTATCTATCTATCTATCTATCTATCTATCTATCTATCTCCCATATACACCACCCCATATGCTTGGAAATAGAGGCATATTATAAAATAGTACCTATATGCTATACATGGGCACCTATCTATGTATATCCTCCCATCCATACATACAGCCATATGCTTGGAAATGGATGCATATTATAACCTAGTACCCATATATCTACCAACCTCTATTATACATATTCCATACATGGATGTATCTGTATGGGAGATAGATGATAGATGTGATAGAGATTGATATATAGATAAGTATATACCTTTACCTTTATATGTATGTGTCTCTATATGTATCTGTATCCCATATGTACAATCATATGCTTGGAAATAAAGGCATGTAAAAGACTACCATATGTCTACTAACCTCTATCACATACAGAAATATAAAACACCTCCATATATGTCCCATACATACACCCATGTATACATATGCATGTATGGAATATGTATAGGTGTGATAGTGTTTGATATGTGTATGGGTATTCCATCACGAATTTGGGCTTTTGGGTGGGAAGGGCAATTGTGATTTCCCTTAGACGACATGCAAACTGACTATAACTACTTTCTTTCCTCTGCATTAATTCCCTTAGATGACATGCAAACCAACTATAATTATTTTTTTCTGCATATAACTCCTTCTTTCTTTCTTCTGCATTAATTACTTTGACGACATGCAAACCAGTCATAACTTCTTTCTTTCTTTCTTTCTTCTACATTAGTTCCCTTAGACAATGTGCAAAGTAACTACCTTATTCTGCATTAATTTCCTTAGACGACATACAAACAAACTATAACTACTTTCTCTCTTTATTCTGCATTAATTTCCTTAGACGACATGGGAACCAACTACTTTCTTTCTTCTGCATTAATTCCCATAGACGACATGCAAACCAACTATAATTACTTTTTTCTGCATATAACTCCTTCTTTCTTTCTTCTGCATTAATTACTTCGACGACATGCAAACCAGTCATAACTTCTTTCTTTCTTTCTTTCTTTCTTTCTTTCTTTCTTTCTTTCTTTCTTCTACATTAGTTCCCTTAGACAATATGCAAAGTAACTACCTTATTCTGCATTAATTTCCTTAGACGACATACAAACAAACTATAACTACTTTCTCTCTTTCTTCTGCATTAATTTCCTTAGACGACATGGGAACCAACTACTTTCTTTCTTCTGCATTAATTCCCTTAGACTAGATGCAAGCCAACTATAACTACTTTCTTTCTTTTTTCTGCAGTAATTCTCTTAGACTAGATGCAAACCAACTATAACTACTTTCTTCTGCATATAATTCCCTTTCTTTCTTCTTTCTTTCTTTCTTTCTTTCTTTCTTTCTTTCTTCTGCAGTAATTGCCTTAGACTAGATGCAAACCAACTATAACTTCTTTCTTCTGCATGAATTCCCTTTGATGAGATGCAAACCAATTATAACTATTTTCTTCTGCATATAATTCCCTTGGACGACATGCAAACCAACTATAACTTTTTTCTTTGGCATATAATTCCCTTTCTTTCTTTCTTTCTTTCTTTCTTTCTTTCTTCTGCATTAATTCCCTTAGACAACATGCAAACCAACTATAACCACTTTCTTCTGCATATAATTCCCTTACTTTATTTTTTCTGCATCAATTGCCTTAGACTAGATGCAAGCCAACTATAACTACTTTCTTTCTTTCTTTTGCATTAATTCCCCTACACAACATGCAAATCAACTATAACTACTTTCTTTTGCATCAGTTCCCTAATACTAAATGCAAACCAACTATTAACTCTAACTACTTTCTTTTTTCTGTATTAATTCCTTTAGATGGCACGCAAACCAACTATAACTACTTTCTTTCTTCTGCATCAGTTCCCTAATATCAAATGCAAACCAACTATTAACTCTAACTACTTTATTTCTTCATTAATTCTACATGCAACAAAGTATAACTATATCTTTGGCATCAATTTCCTTACATTACACATAAACAACTATAACTACTTTCTTTTTTCTTTCTTCTGCATTATCTGTCTGCAAAATCCTATTGTGGTCTAAGTTGGTGATTATTTCCTATTATTATTATTATTATTATTATTATTATTATTATTATTATTATGGTGTCCTAATAATAATAATAATAATAATAATAATAATAATATTTATTATTATTATTATTATTATTATTATTATGGTGTCCTATAGGAAGTAGTTTGAGTTTAAGCTTATAATATAATATAATATAATATAATATATTATTATTATTATTATTATTATTATTATTATTATTATTATGGTGTCCTATGGGAAGTGTAGTTTGAGTGTAAGCTTATAATATAATATAAGATATTATTATTATTATTATTATGGTATCCTATGGGAACTGTAGTTTGAGTGTAAGCTTATAATATAATATATTATTATTATTATTATTATTATTATTATTATTATTATTATTATTATGGTGTCCTATGGGAAGTGTAGTTTGAGTGTAAGCTTATAATATAATATAATATATTATTATTATTAATTATTATTATTATTATTGTGTCCTATGGGAAGTGTAGTTTGAGTGTAAGCTTATAATATAATATAATAATATAATATAATATTATTATTATTAATTATTATTATTATTATTATGGTGTCCTATGGGAAGTGTAGTTTGAGTGTAAGCTTATAATATAATATAAGATATTATTATTATTATTATTATTATTATTATTATTATTATTATGGTATCCTATGGGAAGTGTAGTTTGAGTGTAAGCTTATAATATAATATATTATTATTATTATTATTATTATTATTATGGCGTCCTATGGGAAGTGTAGTTTGAGTGTAAGCTTATAATATAATATATTATTATTATTATTATTATTATTATTATTATTATTATTATTATTATTATTATTATTATTATGGTGTCCTATGGGAAGTGTAGTTTGAGTGTATTATAATATTATATATTTATATTATATTATATTATATTATAATTATATTATATGTATATATTATATTATATTATATTATATTATATTATATTATATTATATTATATTATATTATCATAATGCCATGTGCCTATCATGATTAATTATCCATAGCCTGGGGCTTGCCATAGGTTCCCATAGGTTTGAATAGGACAATGTGTTGCAATTCCAGGTCTGACCACAAGAGGACACTAAAGAGCAGTTTATTATACTTTAGGAAGAAAAAAAAGCATTGAGCCCTGGCGAGCTCCATTCATTCTGCCCCATGACTACAAATCCCAGGGTACACTGCGATATTC